TGATATTGTTAATTTCCAAACTGAGCTGAGCACCTCACCTAGCCTATCATACATATCACTAAGTAAAACAAAATTTGAGTAAAACAAAATTTAAATTTAAACTGAACATGTCGAACTGAACCAAAAGGCGGGCAAAACTGATCTTAGATCGCACTTTCAGTACCATCGCACTTGATTTATCTCCCTTTTCTATATGTCATCCCGATGACCCTGCTGTGCGTGGGGGGGGGGGGGGGGGGGGGGGGCATCTTAGGAGGGCGCGGCTTCAAATCGTCGTTTGAATGTGGGACAATTTTGAACAACTTAACTGCAGTTCTAGCAAAATTGTGCGTTTTGCTCTAGAAACACATTATTGTGCAAATAGATTTTGCCGGCGTATTCTCTTGGGGCGCCAACATGCAACGTTACGCCATTGGTTCTAAAGGCATTTGCCCTTAATGTGGTATCCATCCTTTCACGAAGACTTAAAAATAATGTTTGATATCTTAGAAATCCGAGATTAATATTAAGAACACATCCATAACAAATACTTGGTGTTGTGCTCCATTCACTGATGCATGATGATACTTTGTAGACATTAGTGATGATGTTATGTCATAAATTTTACTTTACTTTACTTTACTTTATGAAATGCAACTTAGTTAATTATTAGTGTGTTGTTATTTTTAGTCGAGGTGTCGTTATTTATAGTTGTAATTCTTTACCATCTCACTATGAGCTGACAAATATTTGCCTTAAACCATTTCCTTGACAGGCAGAGGTTAATAATTTTAAGAATGTAATAATGATATTGATTTTAATCAACTCTATTATTCAGGTCTGGAAATTTAATGGCCAATCCATTCGATTCCTATAGTGCAAGAGACACATTGAGTGCTCAATTTCAAGAGGAACCCTTCAATCCAGAACATTATATTGAAAAACTTGCCAGACCTAATACAGACAATGTCATACTTGGTCAAAATGGCTCAGAGTTTGATCCAAAGCCACTACGGGATCAATTGAAGATGAGGCTAACAGAACTTGAAACTCAGTTTGAAAACAAAACTAAACAAGTTCAGCGAGTTGAAGAAATCAATCTTAAGAAGCAGGAATCTTTCAAGAGGAAGACCAAGGAACATGATCAGTTTTTCAATGTTGTTGACTCTCAATATCAGGACTTGGATAAAGTTATCAATTTTGTATCCACAAAAGTTGTCCATTTGGGTGATCAATTGAAGCAGATGGATGGTAAAAGAAGACGTGCTCTAGAAGCAAAAGAATTGATTGATTATATTAACGAAGCACAAAAGACTGGTAGTATATCAAGCTCTATTTTCACAGATGTTACTAATATACATGAGTCAGCAAGAGTACTTCACAAGATTACTCTCGTGACCCAAGACTTACCAGATAAAGGTGGCAAAGACTTTTCTAGGTTACAAGGTGTGGTGACACGGATTACTGATGAGATTGAAAAACAGTTAGTTCAAGATTTCAAAATGTCTTTACATCATTACACTGATGAAGAACATTTAGAGAATATGAAGAGATGTGCTGCTACTTTGAATCAACCATGTTTTCAAGCTTATAAAGAGGTTGTTGATTACTTTATTGATGCAAGGCTGAAGGCACCTTTCTACGGTGAGAACATTTTTTCAGCTATAAAAGATTGTATCAATGAAACTTCAGGGATAGTTTCAAAAGTTTTTTCAGATCATGACACTATCATGCCAAAGTTTATCAAAAAAATATTCAAAGACAAGATTTGGAAGAAAGTGAGACTTACACTTAAACTGGATACATTTGATGAACCTGAAAAACAATCATCTCAAGATCTTGAGCAGTCTTTAGACTCGTTAGCAGAGTTATATTCACAGACAATGGAGCTCTCATCAAATCTTTCAAAATATGATAACGACATTTCATTTGCTAATGACATAAAGAAGTCAATATTTTGTTCATATCTTTCTAAATACAGTGACACTGAAAAAGAATATCTACTCAAAGCATCAGAGGAAATCCTAAATCAGTTCTATAATTCAATCAAGCATGAGAAGAATTTGCATTCTGATGCCCTTCAAGTTCATCTCAAGAATGCTAAAAGTCGGTTTAATCAATTGCGAGACAATATTGGAAGTAGCAACAACCTGCTCAGCAACGAGCCAAGTGAAATGCCATCTGACCAACTTCTCAGCGTCAATGTAACAACCTCTCTTCTGAAAATTCATGAACGGGTAAATTATATGTCAACCAATTGTCATATTTATAAACGTGATGTGTACATATTTTAAATAATAAACGTCAATGTATCATATATCTTCTTTACATAGTTTGTATAGTTTGTATAGTTGTTCCATGCTCATGTATAATGTAGAAGAATACATTATACAATAATTATACAATTTATTCTTACAGGCAGTTGAAAGATGTCTGCTATTGAGTGACCAAACAGCGTGCTCAGATGTTCTTAAGGAAATTGCAACTTCATTGTTAACACACTTTGTTGCAAATCATTTAGAATATGCCATAGATTTCTACACAGCAAATAGGTTGGTTTTCATTCAACACACAAATTCAGTATTAATGAACTTCAACTTTTTGAATACTGTAAAATTTTAAATGCTGCAGTTCAGTATGGTTTTAGAAAAGATCATTCCACCACTTTTTTAATGCTTAATCTGTTTGATAAAATATTTACGTCTAAGGAATCACAGAAGAAACCTGCAATTGTATTCTTAGATATCAAAAAGGCCTTTGACACAGTAAGCCATAATATTTTATTAAAAAAACTTAAGTATTATGGAGTTGATGGCTTTGTCATAAAGTGGTTCAAAAGCTACCTGGGGGACAGAAAGCAACACACCAAAATACGTGGTAATGTAAGCACATCACTCCCTGTTAAAACAGGTGTGCCACAGGGTAGCATATTAGGACCAATTCTATTTAGTTTATTCATAAATGATCTCAGTAGAAATTGCACACAATCTACTGTTTACTTATTTGCAGATGACAGTGCACTATATTTTGATAACATTTCCCGAGGCATATATGAGAATGTAATTAAGGATATGAAAATTGTGTATGAATGGCTTAGAATCAACAAGCTGAGACTAAATGGTGCAAAATCTTCATTCATTGTATTTGATAGATCACCTAATCTGGACACGTTGTCAATCCCTCTGGATTTGGAAAAAGAATGCCTATTTATAGAAGAAACTAAATCTCAAAAATATTTAGGTCTCACGATAGACAATTTATTGAACTTTCATGACCATATTGATTATGTGAAATCAAAAATTGCTAAAAGAATAGGGGCACTATACAGGTCGAAAAATCTTCTTCCACTGAAATATAGAAAAATGTTTGTAAATGCTCTTATGCTCCCCCAATTTGACTACCTGGATATAATATGGTGCAGGGCTGCCAAAACCAAACTTAATTCTCTTGATATATTATACAAGAAAGTAGCAAAAATTGCTCTGGATGTTCATTGGCAGGAACCATCAGTAAATGTATATCGAAATATGAAGTGGTTACCCTTACACTTAAGAAGACAACTCCATCTGTCAACGTATATGTATAAAATTCTTAATGAGGCTGCACCATCATCATTCACAGATAAATTTTCTTATGTATCCGGAGGATCACGTGATGCTGAGAGGTGCAACCTTTATATTCACAAATCCAGAACACACAAAACCTTTACATATTTAGGTGCAAAATGTTGGAATACAATTCCAGAGAACATAAGGACTATAGAATGTAGTGTAAAATTCTCACCATGTATGAAATCTAAATTTATGTCAGATGTAATTCAAGGAGTCTCATCCTATGAAATAAACAATAGTTTCGACTATTTCTACACTCTAGCTAAGTGACAACTGAAACAAATTTTATGGGGCTGGAGTTTTTGTCGGGTGGAAAGGCCCCCTGTGTTATATATGACCTAGGTATTTCCAGAAGTATAGAACTTTAAACATCTCCTTTATTCGTTCCCATTTTTTATCATTGCCAATCTATTATTGTTCTATACTTCTCTGTATATAACTGTAAATAACATTACTAACGTTATCCCAAAGTGGGCATCTATGTAATCTTAACTGTTACCTTCATGCCCACAGTTTACTGTTAAATCATATCTTATTTTATCACTCATTATTTTATTACTCATTATGTTTACATACTATATCCTTATGTCCCTAGAAGGGTGTTCTGCTAACAGTTTCCGACTGACTTGAATGTCCTGCACAGCAGATTGAAGCTTCTTAAATTATTTTTATTCTTATTGTATTGCTGTGTAAATTTGATTCTAATTCTAATTCTAATTCTAATTCAAGTCACTATTACAACAGGTGTAAGTTTAATCTCACATCAACAATTTGCAGGCCATCTCTTGATTCTCGGAATGAGCCAATCATCAGTCCATTCCTAACGATTGTGGGAAATGCAAATATCACATACCACAGCCTTGATAAATTCTTCAATGATACCATCCTGCCCAACATTCAAAACCCCAAGGTAAGTTTATTATTTTATGTTGGGAAATATTTTCATCTTTTGAATCCCTCAAGCCATCAACATCATACAATAATTTTACCTGTTTTGTTCACTATTAATGTGTGTATAACATGATGATGTCCAGGTTCAAACCGAAGTAAGAAAGATCCGTCAAACAGAGATGAAGAGAATAGAAGAGAAAGTGTCCAACGAGATCAACCACTCGATAAACATCATCATTAACTGGATCAAAGTTATCTTCAAGTCTAAACAGGAAAAGGTACACAATTCTCATGAATTGCACTTTAGTCTTTACGCTTCACATATAATAAAAGTTCCCATAGTTGTGCCTTGAATAATGAACATGCATGAAAGGAAAGAGGCAGAAGTTTTAAAAAGTCAGTTTCTCTCCAGTTCACTGACTCTGTAACCACAGCTGACTCTCACTCCACCCACAGGAAGATTTCAACTCTCTGTGTGTGGCTCAGAGCTCCACTCGGGCGTGTAACGAAGTGTGTAACTTCCTCAGCTCCTCTGTTATTGACACCTTCAAGGGACCAGTAGACGGAGATAACCTGCAACATGTCATGATGGAACTAGGTGTCAGGTACGTTGTAACTTTAGTGGCAGTTAATAGTTACAGGGTGTTTCAAGACTCGTGTCCAAATGTATGTTGAATGTTATATATTTATTTTGGCAGCTTAACTGTCGTTTTTCAATTTAGAGGAATGAATGTTACGAAGGAAGGTTTTTTTCTCCATGTTGAGGTGGAAAAGGTGCAGGCAGTCAGGAACCACGTGCACGTACTCCACGCATCTATAATTAGAGATTCTATAATTATGTACAATACAATACAATCTGCTCTTAACATTTGAGCATATATTCTATGCGGCTAACAAACAATCGCTCAATCACTCAACTTGGTTAATGATAGTTGGTACATGGTTAGACGACAGTGAAACACGCAAATATTTGCAGTGTTGTAATACTTGTTGTAGTGTTAGTTGGTGGCTAATTGTCTCTTGACTGTACCTTGTCTCGTGTAGTACACCTAATTAGTATGTGTTGTTGTGTTACCTCCAGACTGATTTACATTGTCAACCACGAACACGCTTAGTGTCTAGTCTTTGTGTTCGTGTTTGTACTTTGTGGGCTGACGTGACCAGATAAAAGAGTGCCCACTAATAACTGATTTTCCGGTACATTTTAACTGATTTGAACGAGTACCATCATAATATAAAATACCAATGTTTCGTGAAGATAAACGAGGTCACTATTTATTGGGTCAGGAGTAACCAGGTGGTGAGGTAAAAGTGGCAGTTCTAATTGCAATTAGTATGTGTTTAGTGGCGAGGATGGGAACTCGTTACCACACGTTCTGGAAGGTGTTTTTTAGAAGGTTCGAAATTATTGCATTGTGTTTGGTTTGGTGGTCATGGCGACCTTCAAAACTCGGAATTCAACATCAATAATTTCTAGGTTTTTTAGGGAAGTGAAATATCTTTCACCATTTTAGAATTATTAAAAAGTAAATCTTAGCCGGACTTTTGGACCACCCTGTATAATGTTGTATTATTGTTCTCCATGCAGTATTGGACTTCAAATAACGTGCACTCTGCAAATAGTGTGAATAAAAGAATATTTGTTTACTCTGTGCTGTGTGTATTACTATTATATACACTCGGCATAGTATCATATGTATGTAAAATTGAATATGTTTATCGCGTCACATACTATAATATGTGTTTGATTACATGTGTATATTATGACAAATGTAATATGTATGCCGTATGGTTATGTTTAACATGTATGATTCTTGTACAATTTGGCGTGTAACAACTGTAATGTACAAGTTCTATAATATAATTCAGTTTATAACAACTACACTCTACAGGTTTCACGGAGCTCTGTTAGATCACCTGCTACAGTACCAGTACAGTATAGTGGGAGCCCTGCAGCTCATACAGGATCTACACCGTTACAAGCAGACTGTTCACCACTTCAAGGTGAGTTATCTCCACTCAGCTGTCCGTACCTTGTGTAGCATGTTGAGGCACTTGGTGGTGAATTGAGTACATTATATCGAGCTGTAGCCCATCACGATACGTGCATACTGCATATACGGCCCCTAATGAGACGATTGACAGGTTATTTGAGAGGGTATAATACTGGATAACCTTGCTATACCATGCCTTCTCTATACCGTGCATTTTGTATTTCCCTCGAGAGGCCCGGTAGAGAAACTCTAGAAACTTTTTAGAGATTTTACTGGCGTTTTCTCTAAAATCATATTATTTGTCCAATTTTAGGCAACAGGCAACATTACGTCACTGGTTGAAATTAATGGGATATAAAATGGTTAAATTGAATGATTCGATAAAATAACCCAATCTCCCTCCAACTGTGGAATTCCTCGGACGTTATTGTTATTAGTCTATCGATTAATACAGTATAATTAATCAAATCAACAGACGAAGGGTTTTAACAAGGTTATTTACAGGAGCCGTTTGTAGAGGAGCTATTTGAAGGTCTGAGCAAGCTTACCCAGCTGCTGATTGTAGAGCCCCACAAGCTGCGTGATATCTGGGACGAGGGAAGTTTGGCGCGCATTGAGCACGGCTTCCTCGTGCAGTTTGTAAAGTTACGCGCGGATTACAGGAAGAGTAACATTCAGAGTAAGCTGCCGAGTTACAGTGCTCAGGTGAAGCAATGAACGGTCACGAGCGCACGTGCTAGTTCTTAGTCACGCACGTGCTGTGTTTTAGTCACGCACGTGCTGTATTTGAGTTGAATGAACAGTGCTGTTGAGTCGGCGATTATGTATTTGTAAAACATACGATACAGGTGAGTGATGTGCAAACTCCACTTATCTCATTAATAAATATATGCTATTTTAAACTTTACTCAACAAAAGATTTTGTGGCATTATTAAATATTATATAATACATAGTCTGAGACTAATAATATTGTATGAGTACCATTAGTGTTGCCACAAGGGTAGGGTTTCATTCATCGATGATGGAATATTTTAATACCTTTAGGTAATGCTCCGTCTATAGTTAATGCTTACAATTTGATATGAGGTTTGTGATCGTGCATATCATACTGTTTTTGAGCTATTCTTAGATTTTTAGTTTCAGCCCGGTTATTTCGTAGATTTTTTTTGAGGATTAAGGGAACGATTTATATTTTGTTTAATGTTGCTTGTTTTACTTGAATGTAATTAAATTGTATAATAAATTTCCTGATTATTGTAAAATTCGGCTAACTTTTGAATGATTAACCAAACCTCTTTATCTTCAATGCTTTCAAAACCAATAAAACAAATCCGATAAAAACTCCAAAAAGAAATGTATCATTATTTAATATTTTACATGATCATACATATATTCTAGATAATTCTATCGATTTACTGTAACTGATACAGTATACTTATGCATGATTTTATTAAAATGCTTATCTAGATCAAATTAAACCCGAGTTAATGTATCTTAGAATTGTAAAAGAGAGATGAGATTATAATGATAAAGAAAGGGACACTATGTCTCAGGACTATTCTCGCGAATTGTAAGTAAAAACTAACGTTATCTTTTATTTTTAAGTTTCTTGACTAATGGCTATGGGCTGGGAGGAAAAGCTTTGTTACGTGATAATAGTTCACATATTTGATAGTTTACAAGTAATTCTACTTCACGATTAGAGAAACACTTTTGTTAGATAAAGCCAGAGGCTTTGGACTTCAAAAAGCAAATTAATCTTACATTTCTGCAAGTAAGTACGAGCTGAACTATGTCGGACAAAAAAATGCTTTTTACCCTAATTCCCGCCAATATTCAAGTCTGTTAAATATTTATGTTACATTAGAGGATCATAATGTGTATCTTCCAAATTCCCAGGGAGATTTCCAGACGAAACATATTGCTTGTAATTAGCTTCAGTCCTACTTCAGGTGCAAAGCACTACTGATTTGTCGTTAATTAATTCAGTTACTGGTGAAAACAGAATCTTAATGTAATACAGTGAAAAAGAAAATTTCTCAGAGAGACTTCGTTTTAGCACCTAGATCAATTCTGAATAAAATCGCCATATCACATGAGTTTCATAACTCTAATAGATTCAAGATTGAGAAGGCAATGGTTTTAACTCCGTCAGATAAAAATAGGGCCCCAATTTATTGATTTAAGTGACTTTAAATTGACTACTGTAGAGGAGGTGAATCACATTCTCCAGCTTGTTTGATTATATATAAGCTTACTCGTTATTGGCCTCTTTAGCAGTAGTCAAGTAGTCTACAATTGTTTTAATAATTCTACAATTGATCACAATTGTTTCAATATTTCGCCCAGATTTCCGTATCTCGATCACTGTCTTTTCTTAGAGAGAAAAATAACTGAAACAAAAAAATGGTCCTCACTAATTTTCTGGTTTCGTGCTATAAAATAAATCCTTGTGTTTGAAGTAACAAATCACTTTCACAGGTGGTATGTAGGTAAGATCACCAGAGCGGTTACAAACCAGTTATTGCTGGACAAAGAGTCAGGATTATACCTTGTCAGGGACTCTTCAACATGCCAGGGAGACTACGTGTTGTGTGTCAGGTTAGTTAATTTGTTTGTTTGTTTGTTTGTTTGTTTGTTTGTTTGTTGGGACAGATTTTATTATTGAAACTTTACAAATTGCTGTGAATTCTTATATTTGTCATTGCGTTTGAAATACAAACAAAAGTTTATATAGATTTGCAAAAATATTTGTCCATCCGAATTTCGATTTGATATAACGCAAGTTTGCACTCTTCAAAACTTCTCAAGTCGCTTTCTCCGCTTACCTATAATCTATAATCAAAGTGAAATTTGAGCGGCCCTGGTACATGTTGATTACTGCATAGTCTAAATGTGAGATAAGAATTCCCTCTTCACATGACTTAGTTGTACATTTTCACATTTTTATTTACAAACATTCGAGAAATTCCATGCGTGTCGTGTTTCACATACTATCAATCTATGTCCCTCTTCGTAACATATTTATATACGTTATAACGTATCGAATTCGTTGGTACAGTGTGAAGTATGTGTATAAATATAAGGGCTAATAACAGGGGCGTGGTTCATTGTTCAGGGTCTACTTCTTGGCAAGTTACATGCAGTAACAAATCATGCAAGAGTCGGATCGTGAGCAATTGTAAAGTGTTTGGACCACGCACATTGTATTGAGTGTTGAAGATGTTATCTCTGTCTGTAAACCTGCTTGAAAATATCCCACAGTCCATGGGAATGTAATTTGAGCAGGTCCCACGTTATGAACAATAGCATAATACTTAACATTTGAGTAGTAAGAACTCTATTTCTTATTCCTAAATTGTACACTCTTATTTTAGGAAGCGTTCAAAGTTCGCACCTTATATTACTTTATTACGTTATCACCTCAATACAAAAGCTTTGTTTTTAAAAAAAGCTTTGTGCTTCTGGAGGCCATATGTTTTCATTAGAGGGGTCTAAAAATGGTAAAAAGGGCTTGGGTTAAATGTGACAATTCCGTAAACTGTAGTTGGGGAGGTATATTTAATTTGCTGTGTGCCAATTTGTGAGCCACTGTCAAGTACCCACACACACACAGACGTACGCTACATACTTTACAATTTACATCCCATACTATAAGTCACTCAACAGGCCTGGCAATAATTTACACAAATATTTACCTCCCAGTGAAAACAACAAAGTCAGCAACTACATTATAAACTCGAAGCCGAATGGCTGTTACAAGATTGGTGAAAACATCTTTGACAGTCTACAGAAAGTAATTAAGTTCTACACCGACAGCCTCTTGGATACCACCACTCTAAAGAGGATTGTTGTCATTGAGAAAGTCAGGGGCAAATACGATTTTCCCGGAAGGGTGAGTCTAGAACTTTCCGTTTCTCGGTTTTCATTTGCAACTTTATAATTAGTTGATGAGTTTTATGTACTTTTACATATTTAATTTAACATATTTAATTTAAAATTTCCGGTAATTTAGTGTTTAATTAAAGCAATGTATTAACTCATGTAACGGTGTGTTTACTGCCAATTTAGTTTTCCTCAAACACTAATTCTTCACTTTTATATAATAATGCACTTCTAAGTTGTGACTTGTGGCAAATTGGATATTTAAGAGAAACCATTTACTCAACATACATAATGAATCCTTATAATACATGCAATCCCTACACTAGAAATTTAATGCCCTCATCACTTTATATTTAATATAGTTAAAACAGAATGTTGTCTACTCTAAGAGAGAAATAACAATTTGTTTGTTTGCAGGATGAAGAAGATTTACCTTTTAGAAAGGGTGAACTTTTGTACGTGATAGAGAAACCAGAGGAACAATGGTGGGAAGCCCTTAATCAAGAAGGAAAAACTGGCAGTATTCCAGCACCATATGTTACGGTAAGTAAAGTTGGTAGCATTCCAGAATGAAGTTAGTAGCATTCCAGTAGCAATGTTTGCAAAACGTGTTACATCATGGTAGTACCGGATAGAAGACAAGTTTTAGTTAGTATTGCAGCATTAAGTGTTTCGGCTAATAATTTAACCGGTAGCCACACTCTAGTACAATTGGCAGCCTTTTGTGCGAGCTGTACGCCTTTGTACGGGGTCTAAAACTTGTAATTCTACAGGTTAAACTTAATTTCGGGAACCTTTGATTCTTAAAGTTCACTAATTTTAACAAGATCGCGTTGTCCATATGTCAGATATTAAACGGGTTGTAAACGGCGATCTGCACTGGAACTAGGGTATCCCTGGGCATTTCAACCCATGTAAACATAACACTTATACTCCAGATTCGAAGCCACTATTATATTATATATATATTCGGCCTCCTAAGAATGATATAGCTACGGCTTGAAATGTCCAACTTGTCTGGTTTCTTCCATATTTTATTACACTCTCTCTACAACCGGGATCAATAGTATAATCAGTCACGTGAACAATCACACCACAACTGTTCATGTTATCAGCAGAACTATAATTAGTAGTGGAATGTATGCTGATAAGTAAAGTTAGTGAGATTGTAAACACTGTGCTGATTGGTTGAGTGTAATGCTAGTGTATAATGAGAGAGTGTGTAGAGACCTGTTGATAGGTTGAGAAGTAAACGTGTAGGATATGAGATACACTTATCTTAGTCGGGGACCCCCTGGATACCACACTGGAGATATTTATATACCTTTTCTCATACCCCTCCTGTTTAAAACTGTAAGCAATGTTCTTCAAGAAAAATGTGTGGAATGTTGCAGTAGGAATTTGGAGAGATTTTGTAAATTCGACTGAAATTCAGATGATATTATTACAGAGATTATGATACCCACAGTGACATCAACATCCCCCTCTCATACCCACTCTCATACCCCCTCTCATACCCACTCTCATACCCCCTCTCATACCCCCTCTCGGCTCTCATACCCCCTCTCATACCCCCTTTCATGGCCCCCTCTCATACCCCCTCTCGGCTCTCATACCCCCTCTCATACCCCCTCTTATACCCCCTCTCATACCCCCTCTCGGCTCTCATACCCCCTCTTATACCCCCTCTCATACCCCTCTCATACCCCCTCTCGGCTCTCATACCCCCTCTCATACCCCCTCTCATACCCCCTCTCATACCCCCTCTCGGCTCTCATACCCCTTCTCACATCACTACTACATGCAATGTGCGTACTATAAGTAACATCATGTACTAATGCTAGTAAGTAGCACAAAGCCGGAAACTCTTGCAATAGTAGCTGTGTAATAGGGTCACTAGGTAATCACTGAAGAGCCAGCCAACCGTACCTGTTACAGACACACGTGATATTTGGGGTGATCTGTAATGTACTAACAGGGCAACATCTAGTTCCCAGTACACTGTACTGTGTAGTTCATACAGAAGATATTATATGTCCTTCTGCATCAGAGGGGTCACTAGAACTTGAAGATTGAAATTGAGTCGAGAGAATAAATATTCTCAGAATATAGGCATCATTATTTCCTGCACAGTATTATACTGCAGAAAGGGAGATAAGTTAATAATAATACAGACTCTCAGACTGTTCTGTAGTATAAAGCGGGTAAAAAGCACCGTCGACAAGCTTCTTCTCTAAGATAAAAGGTTATTTCAAAGTATATTGAGGGTCCTCCAAAGTCTAAACATTAAAAAGCTCAGTAAACTAAGATATATCCACTAAACTAAAGATAAAACTGAAGGAAAACGGGATTACTTAAAAATGGCTGAATTACGCGAATATTAAATATAATAAGAGAGGCGGGTAGGGTTTCACAAAGTCTGAGGAAACCACATGACAGGACCCATAACAC